TTTCGGAAAGAACTCATTTCATACGGATTTGGGAGAAAGCTGAATTATCCAGATATATTGGTTTTCAACCAAAGCTGCCTAAATCGCATCGTTCTTCTGATCAGAGTCGTATGCAAGGTTTTTAGGTTGGAGTTGTAGGCATGCCTCAAAAATTAGAATTAAAAAGGTTTATTCAAATTTCAGAACTATTTCCTCAAACTTGACTCCAAACTTTGGAACTCATTGCTACTATGACTGCTCTGGTTCAGTGACATAAGTTTTGCAACTGACAGATTCCAGATAGAAAAGGAAAAGCTCTGAAAAATCAGAATTTCCACGCTACCTCATTATGACCCCCCCTTTTTTGTAATATCAAAATATTCTGAGCAACCATCAGCTTGCAACTGGATTACCTTAGCCTCATAAGGAACTACCTGGCCCAGGCAAGCAAGCGCTGCCCAGCGCAGGAAATTCTTCTTAAAGTCAAAAATATTACAATGGGCTTATTAATACAAGCAATTGGCTGTTATAGCAAAATCAATACTGTGAAATAAGAAGGTACTAGAACATGTTAAAAATTACAAGTATTTTTACTGCCCTGAAGAGAATCCAAATCTTATCTCTCTACTAGCTTATTTAGCTTTCCATTGCTTAGTCTTTAAATGAGGAATCTTACTATCTCCTTTAGTGATTTATCTACAAGAAAACTTCTCCACCTAATCCTCCACTTGACTTTACCCTCTAAGATGTCTCAATGAGAATAAAGATCATTAAGTAGCATTTAAGGTTTAAAGGGACTTTTTTTAGCTAATCATCACTGTGATAAATATGTTAGCCTTAAATTTTATGAGTTTTATCTCAGCTGAAGGTCAATACAACCCCAAATTTCTCAGAAAAAAAAGATTGTGATCTCAGCCCAATTCATATGCTAATATTATCTCACTGCTTGCTTGAACTGTATATATTTCTGCTGACAGCAGAATAGGAAAACTTGTACCCAACTCTGACTCCCCTGTCTTCCTTGTGCCCACTCCCCTTCCCACCCCCCCTTTTTTTTTTTTGGGGTTTTGTTCCCGGCGCCGTGCCCACCAACAGTCTGTGATCGGGACGGTACCCAACAGTTCAGGTTCTAAAGACTCTTTGACGCTCCTCAAATCACACCTAGGACACTTTCTAGATTATTCCTCCAAAAATGCTAATGCAATTTTAGCTCTATCTTTTGATCAGCACTTCCCTGAGTTTGTTCCATCCTGATATCTTTTTCATCTTTACTTTTAGTAATATTGTCTCCCTACTAGCTAGCTTTTATGTCATCTGAATTCATTCTTCTATTATTTTAATAGTTTATTTTTATTTATTCATAAAATAACTGGGTAGTATAGACCAGGGAGGGATAGTGTGAGAAGATTCACCAGTGGAAGAGTGGGGAGCAGAACAGGTAGATCTTTTGAAATACACTGCTGAAGTGAGCGGTGGGTGAGACAGGAGAGGTCTGCTGTGCTATGTGGGTCACCTCTTTATCTGGGGATGGAACTCATACTGCAGTGGCTGCAAAAAGCTTCATAGTGCTGAGGCAGCCCCTTGCACCAGGGAGGTCCTAAACCTCATTTTGTATCCGTAAGTAAATGATAGTCTTTTTTTGTTTGCAGAAAGTAGGTAAATATAATGCTTTGCATTTTAAAAGGTTTGGTTGTCATATAAGTCATTATTCAGATGAAGCTGCTTAGTAATTTTTACATCTGGGAATGAATTAAGTATGTGTCATCTTTTAATCTCTAAATTGTGGGAGGAAGAGGATGATAGCCTTTTCTTTAGTTAACAGGGCAAGGTTAAATGGAATTTGTGTTAGAGGAATAAGAAAAATGAACTGTAATAAATGTGCAAGGGTTGAGAAATATAAAGAAAAGAAAGGAGAATGGAATGAAAAAAAGTAGAGACAAAGACAAGATTAAAGGCACAGGGAAGAACAGGAGAAGGTGAGGATGGGAGTAGACTGTGGAGAAGTAATCATGGAAATAACATTAACTTCACTAACAGAATTGCTCACATAAAACATTTGTCATATAGTTTTATACCAAACAAACCTATAGCTACAGAATCAGAAGAGTTTAGATGGAAGGTCTGGAATATGTACCTCTTTGATCCATCTTTTCTGTGGCAGTTGTTCCCCACTGATGTTCTTCAAACAATACCTAATACTCAGCTTCTCATCACCCCAGAGAAAACCTGTTTGAACACTTGGGGGAATGGTCAGTGTTTTAGTCAACAGAGGCACTACCTACCTGGTTTTGAGCCCGGGGTGTCCATGAGTTTCCTTCTAAAGGTTGAAGTAGAAAGTATTTTGAAAATTCCTCTTGTATATACCAGAATATGCCGGTCCTCTCTTAAGGAGAGACTGCTACGTACATTGGGAACTCACTGGATTTGGAAGTCACTACATGTACCCTAAATGAACCTGTTCAGTCCCAAGATGAGCATGCTAGCCACAAAAATATCTTCTCTGAGGGACTTATCCCTATTCAGTCCTGAGGTCTGGATCCAGACGCACCTCAGTCATCCACATAAAATATATGACTTGACTCCAAAGCCCCACCTAAGACAGTATCCCCGAAGAAAAGAAATCCTAGAAGGGGTTCAACCAGTAACTGAGAACCTCTTAATCCATTTTATTTCAGTCTTGCCATTCTCACAAGTACCCCTAATTAATACATAAGATTACCCAGTGGAGAATATAAGATAGTTCAGGGTTTGAGGGTGATTCCCTTCTCAAAGAAATAATCTCTAGGTTTGGCCTCCTTTCCCACCCTGAAGTGACCATGGCTCTGCTTTGGCTCCCAGGATCACTAACTCGTGGCAAAGGCTTTGCCATCTGTGTTCTTCAAAATCCTCAGACAAGGTTAAACAAGCACATCAGATACTAACAGCCAGCTCAGAGATGGCAGGAAGATAAAGATGTTACCAGTGGCCTGACTCAGAACAACCCCAAGAGAAAGATAAGACTGAGCCACTTTGAATGAACAAATGGGAGACCCAGTGCTCACTGGAAAAACTCTCTGAATCCACAGTAGCCCCTCTGTATGCCATCTAGTTTGGGGAGTCCCCCCATCTCCCGGCCATTTCAGCCCATGAAAAACTCTGTGGTAAACATTCCAACTACGGTTGGTATCCATCACTGAGGGGTAGGAGTTGGATATTTACACAAACCTGGAGGAAGAACAGTCCATGTTTCCAGCTCTCTTCTCAGTGGGAAGAAGCATAGGGATATGTTGACTGCTTGGTCCGCTCTTATTCCACAGGGGATGAAACCCTTGTACATCATCCTAAGTAAGACCCGCTGTTACCCCAGATGGCACGCAAGAGCCCGAGGACCCTGGTAGTGCTCTGATCCTATCTCTTATCTGAAATTGTTGTTTAAAAGCAGAAGCCAGAAAAATCAGTCATTGTTTCCCAGGAATAAATGAATGGCTGGTAGTTAGTTTGGAAGATAGAAAGACAAGAGTTTCAGCTATCATCTCCAAGCGACTCAGACTTCTTCCTCTGAACCTACCTGGATGTTTCTATCTTAGTTGAAGCTGGTGCTAGCAAAATCTTGTGGCATGGAACCTGCTACAGGAAGATGCTTTGAGTTTATTCACCTAGAAGATGAATAAAATGCTGTCCCTTCTTGTCTAACCTCTGATCCCTGGTTCTTGCCCTTCTTGGCCCCTCACAGCTATTATGAGGCTTACTTTGCTTCCTGTCTCTTCAACTGCCTGGTAACTTACATGGCCAGGAGCTTAGCATATTTTAAACTCCAGATGGCTCTGCCCCAAGGGCATGAAACCTGGAAATCCAACCAGGTGATACCCTACTTCATCCTTTCCCTGCCTAAGTTAAGTTCCATTCCAATGGCAGAATGCCCCTCCTCAGCAGGAAGTAGTTACAAAAGAGATAGACCTTTGCCCTCAAAGCCTCTAAAAAATGAGGAATGAAAGAAAATAGTGGGGCTTTGATAAAGGACCTAATCCTTGTTTGTCTGAACTTTTCTGTCACTGGGCCTCCAGGCTCTGGCCCAGTCATCACCAACGGAAACAGATAGTCCACCTCACAGGAGCTTCCTGCCTCCAGGCAAGGACTCCAGAATCGGCCATAATCTGATGGTTGTACAGAAGCAGATGGCAAAATACTAACGTACAAGCAATCTAGGATTAGGATTAGCATTAGGATGCTACAGACACCTCTCTGGTAGACTGAAAATACTTAATAAGGCATGAGCCAGTGTAGCCCACCCTAGAACATGCTACCAAATGTGGGAAGGAGGCATCACAAGACCAGAAAAGGGATCCCATGAGGCCAGAAGCTTGGGGTAGGGTCCACATGATTTACACAGTCGTGAAACAAGCCATGTAGGAAAGCAAACTATCCAGATGCGCAGACTTATGTGCAGACCAGGTGAGGATATGGAGATTGAGGCCACTGTGAAAGACTTAGTGGTCCCTCCAAATTGACTTAGTCAAACCAAATATAGAAAAAAAAATCCTTAGGCATCAACCCTAGACATACTTAACAGCAGTTTATGATTCCACCAGGGGGTTAATGAGCCCAGCCCAGAGAGAAGACTGTAGTGCAGTCAGTACACTGGCCAGAGGCAGACTCTCCTGCTGCCTCTGTTTCTCTTCAACATCCTTCTCCCTCTACAGGGCAGCAGCGACAGCTTTCCCAAAACTGTCAATGTCTTTTACAAACCTGTCCCTTTCTGGGTCAGCTCTTCCTGACTGCTTGTTTTATATATATGAAATCATATGTATTTAAAGCATTTTTATATATCGTGTGTTACTATCAAAAGAACACTTCAGCTAGTCACTGATGTGCCCTCTCTACCCCATTGAATATCTGCTCAAACCACAATTATGCACTTAGTTATACAAACAAACATGCACATATAATTCATTTCATCTCTCCTCTCCACAACTTGCACAGTAGGAAGTGAACTTACATTTTTGGCTATAAATCTCCAACATGAGTAAGCCTAGGATGTCAACTCTGCAATGGTAATTCACATGTGTCAGGAATGCCATGGTAGCCAGACCATAGGTTTGATGAAGATGGCTCTTCCCAGAAAGTAAAACTAAGATTGGAAACAGAAACAAAGATGAACAATAGAAAAAAATAATAAAAAAACTAAAAGTTTTACCAGATGAATAATCATTTTTTTTTTTTTTTGGTAAATAGTATAAATGAGAATGTTTAATAGTGTGAGTACTTTTTCAGATGAATAGTTACCATTTTCTCTTTTAGGTTTTGATTTTATATTCATTTTGCTATGAATGCAGGTATGTTTTCTCTTACATGCTATTGTGAAATTTAAATTTTTTATCCTATTACTATGGGCTGAGTTTGAATATTCAAGTAACTCAATAAGTCTTAGAATGAATAACAGTCCTTTGCTCTGCTTCTTACTTCATGTCCTGATTTCAACTCTGAAGTCAGTCAAATTCTTAAAGCAGTATTGTTTTAGGATTTGCCTCTATATACCTCTATATATATTAAAATTGCTTTGAGCGTTCATTGTAAAAATTATTTACTGAGTTCCCATCATAACAGTTGTCTGTTTAACTCACTTTTATTTATGATTCTTAGAATCCAGTAGCAAGTCTCCCATATATTGCTATATTGTCATGTAGCAGTTTCAAATTAATCTATATTTATTCTTTATAGTCTAAAAACTATAGTTATGTTATTTAAAGTTAAGTCTTACATCATATCACATCTGTGTGACTTGTGCACAATTTTGTGCAATTGTGGACTTAATGACTTGTTTTAAACTACCTGCCTAACTTTTCCTAATACCAGTCTGGTGCTTCAAGTAACCTTGGTAGAAAACTCTATAATAGCTCTGTATTTCTTTTCTTGAGAGAGTGCTCTTGAGTTTTCCTGTTTGCTATTCTGAGCTAAGCTGATCTCTCTCTAAATATATGTGCACAGCTCTCATCTTCAAGCTTTCCTTATCATAAATCATGTGTCTTTCTTATATTAGATGCCCTATTTCCTGAAAGCCACGAATTTTTGGTATGCTTCTCTTGGGAGTTTATCATCTATTAGCTTTCTTTATGAGAGTGGATGGAAGATGATTTTAGTTAAGCCGATGTGTCTGAATTTGAGCTGTACTTATAATTGATTAATTACTATGGAGTACTGAAGCTGGGATTGGAGATTGTTTTTCATCAGAATGTTGATAAATTTGCTTAATTTTCACTAGTTATTTACTGTTAATGAGAATTATAATATTAGGCTCATCTACTCTATAAATAGTGTTTCTACTTTTGGGAAGCCTTTGAGATTTGTTCTTTCTCCTTGGGATTCTATAATTTCATGATGATTTGTGGTGCTTTTTCATTTATCATTCTAACCATTTAATAAGTACTTTAAAATTAAAAACTGATAGTTAATTTTGGAAAATTTCCTTGATTGTTATCATAATTCCTTATATATCTTCTTTTTTTCTCCTGTTTTTTTATGTCTGAATTTCCTGATAACTCGACTTTGGATGCCATATATTTATTCTTCAATTTCTTTTCAGAATTCTCATTAATAGCACTAGATGGCAAGTGAAAATGAGATTTAAATCAGCTGATATCTATAACCTCAATGACTCTAGGCTTCTTGACATGAAATATGGTCCACTGCTTTTGAAATTGTTCAGAAATTTGAAAACATTACATAACATTACCTAAATTTGACAAAGATAATATAAGCAGACCTATATAACAGGTTGATGCAAAATACTAGATAGATTCAAATAGAATTCAAAGTCATTAAGAAAATCATAGATTTGTGTTCAAGTTTAATATATTCCTGGCATTAAAGGTTGGTTAAACGTTAGGAAATCTTACATCATAACGTAATAATAAATACAGGTAATTTCCTTAAATGCTAATAATATCATCAAGAAATTTAACATTATTTAGCTATTTGGTTTTTTTTTTATTTTGTGGTTGAAATTATTTTCTGTATTTATTTAAATTGAGGTAGTTTACCATGTTCATGACTTACTGTATGTGATTTAGGAGAATAAATTCCCATGTCATCAAATATATGTTATAATATCATTACCACCAAAGTATCCAGAATCTTCCACTATACACTATAAGAAATTCAACATTCATTTATGATATATAAGTGAGCCCAAAATGATTGCTTCCAGAAACTTGAACATAATATATATGTTTCTGTACTGGAGTCAGTTTTTAATTTCTACAGATGGGGAATCTATACAGATATTTCATGAAATTAAAAAAAAAAAAAGACCAGGAGGCCCCCTCTCTCCAGTAACTTAACAGGATATAATATTAACATAAAAAGTCAATAATCTTCATATACACAAAAAGTAATCCATTTTATGACATGGTCATAAGAAAAACTCCATTTATACTGGAAGAAATACTATTAAAATTTTAGGGTAAATCAAATAAGGATTGTATGAATCTATAAAGGCAAACTTTACTCCTGAAAAGATGACTTTCCCCACCAATTTAGTGGTAATAAAGCAATCTTCTAGCTACCTCCTGGGGTGATATCAGAGAAGGCCTATTGGTGAGTTAATATTTTTTGTCATCGCCAGCAATGATGAGGTTACTTCCACAATGACAGTGGTGGAATCCATGCAGTAGTCTATAAGGAGGAGCTTTTCCTTCACCAAGCCTAAGAGGGATCATTGATAACCTCTTGGGAGCCAGGATTGTGATTAGATTTCTAAGTTTGTTGTCAACAGAGACCTACTGGGAATATAGACTTCTGGCCCAGTAAAAAAGCAACATCCCTCCTTTGCTGGAACAATATTAAAAGAAGCTAGCCAAATTAACAGGTTATATAAAATCCAGGAGGGGTCACAAATAAATACCTTGTATGTACTATTTAATTGAAAACCACCAAAAATATTTATGGGATGACCTCAAAAACAAGAGATCAGCACTAAGATGACAGCGCTGTGAGATTTTCCTAACAAAGGTATTATTATTATAAAATATTTCAATAAGCAGACATGAAATAAAATGATAGAAATTCTAAGCAAAAGAAATATATTAATAACAAATGGAAATTTTAGAAATGAAAAATGCAACAATGATAATAATAATAAACCTCCATGATTATAAACAAAGTAGGTTCAAGTAGGATGGAGGTGACAAAGGAGAATCAGAGGACTTGATTCTACATTATATAATAATTCTCAATATAGAATAAAACAAATGACCCAGTCTGAATTAGAGAAAGAGAATGGGCTGAATATAAAAATTGAATAGAGCCTCAGGGACTTGTTGAACTGTAACAAAGCATCTAACATTTGTGTCATTGGATTCCCAGAAGAGGAGAAAAGAAAGTGATGAAAAGATATTCAAAACAACAAAACTTTCCAAATTTGCCAAGGCATTTGTGTACATTTTCAGAAAGCCAAATGAATTCTAAACAGAATAAACTCAAAGAAACCCACACTAAGAAACATCATAATCAAAAATCTGTAAACTAAAGACCAAACCAAAACAAAACTGAAAGGCTTAGAAGAGATGACACTTCACTTAGATGCAAAGCACAGAATGAGAATAGTCTCATTAAAAACCCCCGGGGCCCGGAACCTTTTTTTAAGTCCTGAGAGAGAAGAACTCTTTACACCAAATCCTATGTTCAAGAAGAATATTTTCAGGAATAAAATAAAATTAAGTCATTTTCAGATGACTAAGAAAAGTAAGAAAAAAATCTGAGCAGCATATTTAGAAGAATGACTAAAGTGAGTTATCTAAACAAAAGGGAAATGATGAAGGATGGAATCTTGGAACGAAACAAAGGGAAGAACAAACAATGGAAAAAGCAAATTCAAGTAAATACATTTTCTTTTTGTTTAGTTCTTAAATTATACTCTCTTTGCTGAAGCAAAATTGATGACACTATTGTACATAATTCTAAATGTCACTAGAAAGATAAATTTAAGAAAATTGGAATTGGGGATGTTAAAGGAAGAAAGCTTTCTATATTTCACTCAACTAGCAAATATACTCTGGCTGAAGAGAGCCTGGTGTCTCAGGTATTTATTGACAGTTACTAAAAAAAAAAAAAAAAAAAAAAAGGCACAAGGCAGGGTGAATATTCTGCTGCTGTATTGAAATCAGAAATATAAGTAAGAAATATTCTTTAAAATTAAAAAAAAATAGATACAGATATGTTAACTTTCTATGGGGGGAGAGGGTTCCCATAACCCAAACAGCTAAAGGGTGTTCACTCTAAATGGGGTTCTGCTCTCCGCGATCACAAAGACACCAGAAACCGACTTCCAGTGTGAAATGTTTTTCAATAGAGTTAGTGTGCACACAGAGAAAAAAAGAGAAGAAAGAACTTTAAGTAATACTTTCCCAATAAAACTCCCATGTAGCAAATTATCCATCCCCTCATGAGCAAATGCCTAACTAACAGGTTCAGACCACTGAGACTGAAAGCTTACCTTGGTCTAAGGTATCTTCCAGCATGGAACAATAAAAAATGGGGTAGGCAGATCCCAGAAAGCTGGGATAGGAACGACTCATAATTCAAAATGTACCATATAATCCAACATGAAGTCAAGATAACAACAACCATTTTGTGTGCCAATGGCCAGGAGTAACCTCACACCCATTTCTCTCTTCAAAATGTTTTTACATATCTTTCCTCCAGCTCTCTCTGCCTTTGTTTCATCTCTACTCTGGCATCCATTTTGCTTCTCCCCACCTGTGTCTCACTCAGGGAAGTTCAGGTTATGGCACTCTGGGGTTTATAATCTGAGATGGCTGCACATAAGTAGAGGGAGGAAAAAAATTGCCTCTTCCTTTCATGGGGATATATCTATAACAGGTATAGATGTGTGTAAATATATGTGCATATGTATATTTATTTTCTAGCTCAGAGTGTTCTAAAAGTAATTACATCTAGATAGTAATAAACAAATGTAGTGGTTGTTAATCAAAAATTATGGCTATTTTTGAGTATAAGTCATGTAAATTACAGATGACTATAGCCTATCAATCATATGGTTGAGAAAGTAAGAAAGTACTAAGAAATGAGGATCACATCAAAAAATCTAAGACAATAATTATATCAATAAAA